CCCCCCCAAGCTGGTTTCCCTCTAATTTCCTTCTCTTTTTCAGACACATCCTCAGCAGCTGTAAACAAACAGGCTGTCTTCCTGTTTGGAGTGGAGCTGAGTCAGCCTTTAGCATACAGTAGTGCTACTAACAACACATTCATTGCATAATCAGTGTGTGTGTGACCAAGACATTAGTGCTTCTGACTGTGGTGAGTTCAGGGTGCATGTGATTCATGCAAAAAAGGAACATATCTTCCGCACTGAGGTCACAACCCTGGGAATTCTGTTTGTTGCATGGGTTATCTGGCAGGCTAATCCGAGTTTAGATCCAGGAGCGTCACTGGTGCACCCATGGCTTTGTTCTGACTCAGCTCAACACCGTCAGCAATAAATTCCACCTTATCCATATCTGGATATGTCTTTGAAATGCAAAGCGAGTGTGTTGAAAGCTTCATTAAAAGTCATTTTAATGGCATTCATCAGGAATTTCCTGCAGCTAAACTCTAGAAATTATAATCCTGTATACTCGTGTTTCTCATACCTACAGTGCTTCCTTTATCTTGACAGATGTCTCAAATGTTTTAATGTTGTTAATTATAAAACTGACATCACTTTTCATCGAAATCTTTATGCCATACTTGGCTGGTTTAGAAGGGATGTGTTGCCTGAAGCTGCACCTGCTTCTGAAAGCTACCAACTGTTCATCCACAGAGAGATCAGTAGGAGGGAGAGAGAGGGGGAGTATTTTGGTAAACGGGCTCCAAACATGGTCTAAAAATCCCTGGAAACAGCAAGTTTGTCCATGGCCTGCCTGTGTGCTCCGGTTACTTGTGTGTTAAACCTGCATGTACTTCAGGATATCTCTAAATCTGCTCTGTCAGCCATGGCTCGCTGCAGAACATTGACAGCATACAGAGATTAGAAGTGGAAACTTACAATGTCCCCTATCCTCGTGGCACAAATAAGCTAATTCCTATAAAAAATGATGAAAAGCTGAAGAAGAATTAGACTGAAACATTCTTCTGAATATTAACACGACTGAAGGTTCGCAGTTAAAGGTTATTATTCTTTTACTACCACATAGTTACCCGAGCTGAACCCTTCACCTCACAGCAATGCTCATATTTAACATATTGACATAAACCTGCAGTAAAGTTTAAAGTCACAACAACAACTCAGCTGTGCAAGCTTTTGTTCCCCCAAGTCTGAGAGCTCTGCATAACATTAGCATCCTAAATGACACCAGAAACTCCGTCATCTCGACCCCTGACCCTCAGATCATTGTTTTCTGGATGCACCCCTCATCTGCAGGGCATGTGACAGGGGGGCTGCTCAGCTGAGCAGCGGGGTTGGAGGTTGGTTAATCGGCTGGAAATGGCAGCTTGAGTGAGGAACACTTTCCAACTCTTCCAGCAGCAGATTGCTGCACATGCCTTTGTTTTGGTGCAGGGGGTGGGTCTCCTGTCAGGTACATGCCCGGGCGAACACCCTCTGCCAGCTTTGACACGGGCAGACTTTGCATGACATGTGGTCAACAGTTAGCTTGTAGGGGCAAGATAATGAATGGTAATCTGAGTCAAGACCATCAGGCTGCGTCTGTTACTGGTTTGATTATGAATACGATGAATTATTTTAAATATAATCAACTTTCTAATATTTGTCAGAAGAGTCTGAAATAACTGGATTATCACTGAAGGAGAATTTCCTTCAGCTTTGTCTCCCTCTTTGTTTTTCTTCTGTCGTCTTCGACCTTTCTTCTCAGGAGCAGCACATTCGGATGCACTTCTGCTTTCACACATGCTAATTTTGTAGGAGTTTTACTGTCACACTCATAGCTTGATCACAAACAGGGTTATGAGTGGGGCTGAGGCCTGGATCACATTCAGGAAAACAGATGCTGTTTACAGACTTTCCATGTAGAAATTTATCCCGGTCATTGTTTTGGATTTTTATATTTAAACACTATGTTTGTTGTACACCTGTAGTGCATCTGAAAGCTGTGAACACACCTGTGTGGTTACTTCTCAAGGCAGTGTGATAAGCTGATTAGACTGAGTAAATCTAATCGAAATAAATGTATTTAAACATCCAGACGTTTGCACTTGTGTTTGTTCATGAATGCAAGTCCAATGTTTCCTCTTTTGTGGTCTCTACCAACTCTTGCGGATGATATCAGGCTCTGGCTGTTAAATGTTGTTGGTCTTTCTGTATAAGCAGGTCAACTATCAGAAAATAGTGCACTATTGTAGTTTTAATGGAATAACAGCCTCTCACTGCATAATATCCTCTGAGGTACTGCTGTTGTGTCCTTGACAGGGGGCTTGTGTCTTACATAAACTAGACTTGAGCCTCTGGTAAAGATTTTGTACCTTAACGCAGCATTTTATTTTTTATCCATTTATATATATGTGAAACCCATCTGCACATGTGCAGGAAGAAAAACAGCAGGTTTAAACTTAAATTCGTACTTGCCGTGAGGTGATATTGCTAACCTGTGCAGTTAAAAATCTTTCAGTTTTTTTTCCTCCTGATATCAAACCTTAAATTATAGAAGAAACGGTGCAAGCATGTTCCTTTAACAGCTCGAAAACAAAGACATACCTTTATGTTCCTTGGAAGGTTCACATAGTCACACTGAGGCCGAATAATTAGTCCCAGAAGGTTTGTGGAGATTATACCAGCTGGAAAATAGACTTTTACGACATTCCTGTTTCTAAAAGTGCACAGCTGCATTTTAGACCCCTTTCTGCTTGACGCTGCCTACTTTCTCCAAACATGAGGATGTTAGAGCAGTTAGAATAAAGGAAGTTGGAGGCAAATTGAAGGATAATGCTCTTCTGAGTCTTTATTGCCAGACCTTTGACTGATACATAACCTTTCTGATTCATAAAAAACGACTGGTTATAATATTGAGATTCCTGCAGCAGGAGAACAAGTGCAAACTGCACGGTTCAGACCCAATGCAGGGCTCCCCAAACACCTGCTGATGCCACCTGTGATCGAGTCACCTGCCAGGTTTTTGGTTCCAAACTGCATCACCAACCTTGTTTTCTGTCCTGCAAAGCATGTCTCTGTGTTGGAGGTGTTATTCGCTGTAACCCGAGGGCACTGGTGCAACAGAGAGACGGTATGACGGCACCAGATCAGGTGTACGCACACACACTCTCTTCGCTCTCTCTGACAGGTAATCGATACCTCTGTAGCTGTGATAAGAATGTAAATGAGATCTATCACCTCGAGTCTCATCTCGTTCTTCAGTCCAACTGAAAACCTCAACCTCAACCTTCATAACGTTGCTGAATTTGGTAAGGTTTCATCTAAGGGTTATGCAGCTGATTGATCTGACCTGAAAGTTAAGAGTTTAGCTTAAATGTGTTTATTTTGTTATGTAAGTGCCAAATTTAAATGTGCTTTGTGTTTTAGATTTTAATCAAGAAAACCTTTTTGTTTACCTTTCACCTGGATGCTTTTCAAATTTCATGTAAAACGCTTTGTTTTGTTGAAGTGAGCTGAACAAACAAATCTGCTTCTTTTTCATTGGTTGTACGTTTGTTAGGAGACGTGATGAGAGCCTTTAGACAGGTCAGAGGAATCCCCATTGTGTGTGTGTGTGTGTGTGGGTGTGTGTATGTGCGTGTGTGTGTGCGTGTGTGTGTGGCTGCTGTTTGTCCTGCAGTAACCAAAGCAGAAAGCCTCAGCTTTTGTCCCCACAGCTGAAAGCTGAGCCACTGTTTGGGTTGTTACAATGACATCATCGTTTTAACCCTCACCCACTCCGCCCTTCATCCCACACCTCCTCCTCTTTCCTGCATCCAGGGCTGAGTTTGCACTCGGACACAACATTCAAAGAAAGGATGTGTTTGTAAAATGTAAAAAGACTCGATAGTGATCTTATAGTGAATTA